GTTGGTACCCACGGCATCCCCAGACCTTCACACACCATACTTTCAACAATACTCTCTGGAGACAAGAGATTCGATTCAACTTTCCTTAGGTTATTGTGCAATGAAGATCGAATTATTTTTTGCTAGTTCTTGTAAGAATTTTTTTCAGATTATCGTTTAAGAATTTCTGCTACTATCAGATTAAATTCCAAGGAATAAAATAAGCATCAACTTAAATAAACAATCGAACTTAATATTAAATTTAAATCCCTCAAGTATATTAATTGAGCCGTGGTGGCTCATGGGATAGCTTCCAAATGTTTTGGCAGTTCGATACGAATTCCACATCCGACTCGCCCCGACCACATTGCTGACGTAAAATATTCTCAATGGTATACGGATCATGGGTTAGAGTCACTTTGTCATTAGGTTAGCCATAGGAGGTTTTCCATGTTGCGCAAATTCGGAATAGTTCCTTCGGAAAGTCCTCCAAGAAGGGGAATTTCTCTAAATAAATATTGGATCCCTTGTCTTCTGGATAGGGTTCAAACTTACAATGTGCGGAGTTGTACATTGACAGCCGTGAACTCAAAATTGGGTTGGCTGTTCAATTACGGCTATGGAATAAAATAAAATATATTAATTTTAAAAAAAGGTGATACAGTAAATTTAAACAAAAACCTGATGCGTTCTTTGGACCTTATCTAGCATCCTTTTGGAATTTGGGAAAAACATGTTAAATATTTACATGGTGCTTTCAAAACAATATTAAAGGATTAAATATATAATGCAATAATTAAGTTGAATTATGATTAATTAAACTTAAAAAAGCTGTTTTGAGTGCTGGCAATATACAAGAAAAGAGACAACCACTTTAATGATTGTAAAGCAATAATAAAAAGAAAAAACTCATATTGAACTTTTTTTAGAATAAAGTTGACAAAAAAACTTTTTTAATAACTTCTTTCATGAATTAAACACAGTTTTTAAGCGATATATATAATACGGAAATATTTTAATGAAATCAGACTTAATTGCCATTAATATTATAAATGATAATAATATTGCTCTCATTATTATTGTCATTATTCACTACTATTCTTTTTTTTAAATCACAAATAAACAAAAAGAAAGTCATTATAAATAAATCAAATCAGCAGAAATGAAGCTTACAGATTAGAATTATCAATATTTATGTAAAAGGAAATATAACTAAGCATTCCTAATAACCTGACCCCCAACTGCTTTAATATAATTTTAATTCACAGTCAAAATTTTATCGACCTCGATAATGATTAGTCAGATTTGGGTTAATTTCAAAATGACATATCTTCTGTTTTATAATAATTTGTGAACTCTGATATGCAGGCTTTTATAGCTTAATTTTTAATAATTTTAATATATATGTATATACATGTTTAAAATGAAGAATAAAACAAAGAAAAATAATAGACAAATGGAAAAAAAGGGGGGGGGGAATAATAAGTAAAAAAATAACAAGCAACAGTTTTAAAAAAAGAAGAAAAAAAAAGGGGTGAAATTTTATTTAAAAAAAAAAAATATAATCTTTTCTTCAGCCCACACGATTATATCCGCAAAAAACTTTTGCTCCTCACAGTATTGTATTCATATATTTTGCTTTGGCTTTATTGATACAATATCAGAAAGCACTCTGTTTTGCCGATATAATCGTGTGGGTTAAAGAAAAGATTATATCTTTTTTTTTCCGGTTTTTTAAATAAAATTTCACCCTTTTTTTTTCTTTTCCTTTTTTTAAAACTGTTGTTTGTTATTTTTTTACTTATTATTCCCCCCCCCCTTTTTTTTTCTTCATTTATCTATTATTTTTCTTTGTTTTATTCTTCATTTTGAACATATCTAATGAGTTCTGTTTACTTGCAGCTTAAGCGCATTAAATGAAACTTATTGTTTTTCTTAACTTTCTTCNTGATATATATATTAAATTAGGTAATTATGAAAAAAAATATTAATTTTTTTTTGAAAAGCATGGTTTATCTTTGTATTTATTTATTTATTTTATAGTTTTTTTTAACTATATAAACACTAAATTTTTTTTCTTACTTGCAATTAATGTAATTGTTAAATTTTTTTCATCGATTCACCTTTTATTCAATCAGTTTCTACTTTGGGAAATAAGTGCTTTAAGAAAATAACTATTTTATTTGAAAATAATTCAGCGAAATTCCAAAAAAATAACTAAACTAATGTATCAAATAATGTAGATTAAGAAATATAATAATGCATATATTAATCATTTAATAAAGCGTATGCCTAATTTAAGAAGCTAATCAATATTCAAATAAACCTTTTATATGAATATTGTTAATAAAATATTTGAACTTCGAAGTGAGGAGTTTATTTTCCTTTCAAGACAAATGAAAACAATCAAGTAGCAGATCGAAAACGCAATTTGGAGGCGGCCCCTGGGGAAATGTTCCATCGGGCAACTTTGTTTATTGAACAACAATTTCAGAAGCACATTGGACGGCGCAGCGAGTTTGGATTCAATTTCACAGTTCATTAAGAAAGAATGGAATGAGCCCTTCGAAGCACCTGGCTGTACTATATAACTGGAACACATCCGATACCCCCCATCACTCGATTGACAGTGGCTGATCTAAATGACCACTGGTCAGCAAAGTTCCGCTTTGACTTCGACAGAATTTCTTAAAAGTCTTGTGAAGTGCCGTTATCAGAGGATTAGTGAGCGAATTATGGCAAGATCCATCTATTTTTGGCGTTTGAATTGGATTTATTAGTTAATATTTATAAATTAGGTGATTTTGTTGCCAATTTTTGCAAATAATCTCATTTGAACTGACTTAGATTTTAATATACTTAGTAATTGCTTTATTTATTAACTTAGGTTTCTTTTCCGTTGGAACATAATTTTGATTTTGGAGATCTTGTTTGAATTGATTTGATGAATCAAATGAGGCATAATATTATCACATTATAATTTTAAATATGTCTCAGTATTACATATGATATGGTTTCTGTTAAAGGATATTTCTCTATTTTATTGTATAAGGTCCTTGATTTATTAAAATGTGTAAGTTTAGAAGCTAATGTATATATTTTAAAGAGTCTCAATGTTATTAAGAATCTGAAATTGTTCTTTCATATGAACTTTGAAACAAAAGCTCCTCTATCAAACAATTTCTAGAGATCCATAAACAGCTTCTGTACAAACTATTGATGTATTCTATTTTAGTCAAAATCATTCGATTTCAGTCAAAGCGTTCTCTGTATTTCTATCTGATTCCAGTGTTTACAAAAATATATGTAAATCGCATAGTATAATGGCAGTTTATAACCTTTTAATGAAAGTGAAAATAAATGTCAACTGACTGATTTTTCCCGAATAAGACATTTCAATATCTATTAGTAACAAATTATTTTCCAGGTTTATTCAAATTATTGAGCTACTTTTACCAACTATGTGAATCTACTTGTTGAATTTTGTGAATCTAGTGAAAAACTTATATTGAAGCCTCGATTCAGAAGCGTGTAGCTAAAAATTGTTTCTTCATAATCTGAAAAGTAGATTTCTTCCACCTCAGTTTAGTTTCAAGGCATAAATTAATCTTTAGAATTTGTACAAGACTTTGAGAAAATTACTTATTAACTAAAACAAATTAAATGCAATTGGAAGACTATGGAAGAACTGTTTCAGCGTGTTTGCTCAACTGTAACAAATAAACTTTGAATTGTGGGCATTTTTAAAAGGAATTTAATGCTTATTAAACTGACTTCAGTACGAAAATTCGAATTTAAATGTAAATGAGCAATTTTATAAATCTTGCTCGATTATGAAGTGATGTGCATCAGAACTCTGTCTTCAAAAACTTTTATTGAACGTTTATAACGAGTTAAATTTGAGCACGAATTAACGGTCTGATTCATCTACGTGTATTGTAAAGTGTGAAAAATTCATTTAATAAAATAGGTGAAGCAGAAAATTATATTTCTGACGGAGTCAGAAAAAAACTAATTAACCTACGTAATTCTGCAAAGACAAAGGAAAATTTATCCTACAATTCATTGAAAATTTTTTAAAAATTGTCTTAGATTTTGACTATTAATAGCCTTTACAAAATGAATTGTTTTTATTCTTTTTATAGTGAGTCATAATAAGAAGGAAAAAAAAAACACTATAAATAAAAAACTTAAAACTTTGAATAGTTTTTAACTCTATACATTATAAACATAGTAAAATAGACATAAATTTAATATTTATCTCTGATATCTTAAGAAATGTAACATATTAAGATTTTCTGCTCTAAATAATTTTGTGGTAAAATATTGAATTTTCGTCAAAAGAAAACGAAATATTGATGATCGATAAGTCAGTACTAAATAACAGTAATGAATACGAAAGAAAATTCTATCACATGATTAAATTAGAAAACAAAATTCAGTTTCGTAAGTAAAAAAAATTCTGACAATTATATATTATTATAATGAATCTAGAATGCTGAAAATAAACAAGAGAAGTTAAACTGAAAACGAACAGGATTTGTACCGAAAACGATTTGATCGTAAAAAGTTCGAATTTCGTTCCATATCGCTTTCGGAGGAGACAGAGAATTATTACGAAAGTTTGGGCTGGCTTTCCGATAAATAATTGCCCACCTGTTAATTTGTACCGTCGTTTTCAAGACGATTTCTCAGCGTTTTTACACCTTTCAGCTGTAGAAAACCGTTCTATGATGGTTTTATTTACAAAAGATAATCCATTTAGAGCTTTATAGTGTTCTCACAACGTCTCAATCACGGGTCCGAACCCGATTTGAGCCTAAGAAGTAGCGTGACGCGCGATCAACCGCCATCTTGGAGGCGGAACTGTCTACCATTCATCAACGTCGGAGCCTGCGCGAGGTCAGAGTGGAGTAACGTCATTGGTTCTATTCCCTTACGTCATATGCTAATTTATGGCTGTGGGAGGAGCTAATTCGGAGTTATACGACATCATCCTAAGAAAAATTATTTACCTTCCAATTCACCAGCAAAATTAATGACGATGTCTAGCTTTTTGATGAACACAGCTCAGTATGCTCAAGATCCAAAGTTTCCGCCGATAGAGGAATATTCACAGGGAAATTATATTCCGGATTACTATCCGCATTATGGAAGTTTTCATGCCGCACCCCCTGTAAGTTATGGCCCGCCGACCGAGAATGGGACAGCGGTCGGAGGCTATACGAGCCACGGCAATTCGCCGCACTATTATCAGCGATCGTGCAGTGTAAGTCAGCAAAATGCTGTCACCCCCCTCAGTGTTGATCATGTTGGTACTGATGACAGTCTTCATCATATTCACAACAGATCCTCGCCGGACAGTTCACCACCGCCCGGATCCCTCATACCGAGGTCGGACGCTCAAAATTCGGACTGTTCCGGGTCAGATAATCCTGTAATATATCCATGGATGAGAAAAGTTCATACAAATAATCCCGGTAAGTCAATTTTGCCTTTTATAAGATTTTTAACCATTATGATTCCTAATGAGTATTTTGCTTTCTACAAAATTTACATTTTATTTGTCCGTTAAAATGGCTATATATCATGTAAAAAGATTCTAAAAACAATTTTGTCGAGGCAGTTATAATTTGCTTTGAAGATTGAGGTTTGTTTTGAACATTAGCCAGGTTTGTTTGTCATGTTTTTTACGAAGATTTTTTTAACTGAAAAAGAAAAAAAGAACTGTTACCGATCGACGATAACCCGCAAAGAATTATTATCTGTATTTATTTATTTGACGCCAAGGGAGTTAAATTTGCATGTATTTTAAATTATGTTAACTTATCATATCTGTATTAGTTCATAGTAAACATTCAAAAAATAATTATTGATCATTCTTTGTTTAGAAAATAAACAGCGAAAAACACTCATTTGTTTGTTTTTTCTGAAAAAAAAATTTAAAATATAATTTTTTTGAAGAGTAGAAGTGTTTTTTGGATTCCGGTAGTTCGTCTGAAAATGATCTTATGTTAATTTGTATTAAGCTGCAATAAATTTCTATTTTGCTTTTTACAAAGTTTAATTTTTCGACATCGTTTTCTAATCCTTTTCCTACTAGGTTCACCTAAGTTCCTTTAAACAAATTTTTTCACTGTTTTTGTTTATTATGAGACTAAATAAGTTTCAGTTGTTTGTGTTTTAGTTTTTTTGGGAAGCTGATTCATGACAAGAGGGTTGTTAAAGTTTGCTTTTTCACAGGGCGATTCTTTCAGTTTCACTTTTCACTAATATTTTTTTTCCAGTTTACTAACAGTCAAATTTTCTTTCTGACTCTAAACTCTTTTTGTGAGCTATATTAAGTGGTCGTTTGCTTAGTGCTTTAAGAAATATTTTCGCGTTATTTTAAGTTTTAAATAGTTGATATTTTGTTTTTAGCGACAAAGCTAGCCCTGATACTTTATTAAAATATTTCTAAAAACAGTCCCGTCCCAGACTTTTACATGTTGACGCTTAAAAAATCTATATGACACTTAAAAAAATCTATCTACTTTCTTTGCGCAATGTTTTTATTTTGTTTATTGTTCGCAATGCAATTTTAAAAGTGATTTATTGTTTCCTTACTTTTAAACTAAACAAATCTCATTTATTTAAGCAGTGTTTTGCTGTCTACAAATAAAATATTCCCAGTGCATTCTTGCGTGTAATTATCTATAAATACAAATACATTGAATTATTGTTCACATTGAGGCTATAAAAAATTTATTACATACGTTCGTAACTTACTTTTTGTATATTAAAAAGAAGGATTGAAAAAAATGCTTGATTCTTAGGCATAAAAAATTGTTTTCCTCATGTCAAATACAGCACATTTTTTTTTTAAAGATTGCTTCTCGTAATCGCTTTGAACCTAGAAGATTTTTAAGCACGTTTTCTCACGAAACATTGTTTATGTTTTGGAAACAGTCGCTCATTATCTTAATGATCAATCGGAATTTCTGGCAATTATAGACTTGTTTGATGAATCATTCACTGCTTGTCTATATTTAAAGTATTTTATTATTATTGCAATACAATAAGTTCTCCTTTATTTATCCTTTATCAGTAAAAATATATCCATTTTAGTTATTACAGTTAGCTTGACATAACAAGATTTATGGTATAATTGTAGAATTTTGTTGTTAGAAATAAGAATCCTAATAGTTAATGAATATTGGCCTGAATATTAAATTATGAAAAATAACTGGTTCAGCTTTATTGCTATTCTAGCTTATAGCTAACATATAATATTACACAAATACATTTTAAAGTTATTGATTATAATAAATACATAATCCATTCGGTAATAATGCATTCATTTCTAATTACAAAAGTTTGCTTGAAATAATTTTTATTAGAATACGTCAAATTTAAGAATTGTTTATGATATCATTATTTATATATTTTGAATCTTGGAGAATTAAGAAAAGAAATGGCAATTAAGTAGTTTGCGCAATTACAATAGTCATTATTTAAGGTTTAAAAAAGGATTTGAATTCTAAAGAATTTTAAAAAATTCTTCATTGCGAAGAAGAGTTTCAAAAATACTTCTTATTTATGCAAATGTGACTTATTTTTGGATACACGCTAGCAATATAGCTGTTGTATAGCAATGCGTAGGTACTTCTAAGATATTTTGATTTAAAACTGACACATTGCATTAGTTTATTGAAAAATTGAAATTAAATTAAGATGCTCAGCTGATAGTCATTAATATTAAGTTTCATAATTGAAGTCATTTACTTTATTTTAAATTGCTAATGAAATACTGTTTATGGTATAATTAAAACTAGAATACGTATGCGCTGTAGATGTTTTCAAATTCTGTATTTTTAAATCAATTGCTTTGTTTACAAAGCAAACTTATGAAAAACCACTTCTCAAGAGAATATTTTCAAGCAGAATTGTTAATTATAATATTTCATTAAAACATTTTAAACAAAATTTTAAAAAAAGAAAAATGAAGTATCATATATATTTTTTTCTTAGAACTTAATACTTAAGTGAATTACTCGGTATAATTATCTGAACTTATTATTACTAGCATTTTAATTATTTGTAATTTTTTGTGTGAAATAAAATAAAAATCTGAGTTAAAAAAGTGGTTTAAGAATTCTTGAAATAAAAGTATTTTTTCTTCATTTTAACGATTAAAATATCATAGTCTTAATTTAACTCTTTTCATATTTAAATTACTTCAATTCAAAATTTTAGCATACATAAAACAAAAATTTTTTCATTCATGTTTAAAATATTGGTTTTTAAGTACTTTTAAAGAAGTACTAATTTTATAATACTTTAAAATAATACAATGAGTAAATTGGATGTGTAAAAACTTGCAAAATATGTCTTTTAAGCTGAATACACTAGCACGAAGACTATTTTTCTTATTTGATTGCTTATTTAAATAATAGATCATCCAAATAAATGTCTCATTCTTTTTGGAGGCTTTACTATTTGCTTTGTTAATTAAAAATATGTAATAATAATAATATTGAAAATTCTGTTTAAAACTAAGTTTTACAACAAAATTTAATTATCCAAAAAGAAGACATCACTTGTTAACTCAGAAATTAAAGTACATAGTTACATTTTAGGGATTACTTAGTTTTGATAAATCAGTACGTGAAAATTAGTTCTCTTCGAGAATTATTACACAGTGCTATCTGCATTGTGGAAAAACAAACCCTTTCTCACACAATTTTGTTTTTCTTTAATGAATTAGCTTTTATGGACATAACATGATGATTATGAAGTGATGCTTAGCTTAATGAATTGATTATCCATAATAGTGCAATGGAATGTTTGGCTATTCATTTGAAATTATAAGAGTTGATAGTGATTAAACTATCTCTTGACGCTCTTACATGAATGCTATCAGTTATTATTCTAACTGTATTGTTATTATTTGGAAGTACGTCATTTTCGTTTTCAAAAAATAATTTTTTGCATTTTTTTTCTCTTCTTTTTGCATGCATATTTATTCATTTTAAAGTATGAGAAAATCAAAAATTTCTATTTTTTTATAAACAATGTTTAAGACGACTTTAAGATTAGGATTTCTCAGATTATGAATTAAAATAATAATAATAATTACTTTAAATTTTTCAATTTCTATATGTCGAGGAAAATTTGTGTTGCTTATTTTCCAAAACTAGATATATATTTAAGTTGTAATTACACTTCTTGAAGACAGACATTTCGGAAGTCTGCAACATTTTTTAAAGCTCATAAGTTATTTCAAGTAAACAAACAGAAATTATTTTGAATTTTTTATGTTTATTATGTTGCTCGCTCAAAAGTATTTTGAATAAAAAAATTTCTAATCTAGTTTTTTTTGTAGGCAATTATCAACTGGTAGAACCAAAACACAAACTTAAAGCTCTGACAAAAGCTTAGTTTAATTTTAACTCACAGTAAATTTATAATTTGGTCTAGTGATAAGAATCAACATTGCAGAATGTCTTTATAATCTCACAGAAAAAAAAAAAAGAATTCTGGTAAAATTACTGCACTGTATAGTAATGGCAATACTGTATGTATGGTAATATCATAATTTTGATTAATAAAAATCAAAATATAGGGTATTTAAACCATTCGTTTGGTAATTTTTCCGTTCCTATGACATCGGTTTACTAGGAATTCAGGTTTTAAACATTACGGTTCTTATTACCACGTACTTAGAAAGAAATATAAACCTAAAAAGAAATTTAACCGAGTTAATGATTTCTATGAAATACTCTATCATGGTAAAATTACCAAATTTTAAAACGTTTATTGAATTTTAACTCTTATTGAAAAACCACATTATATTGTTAATTTTATCAAAATCATTACCAAAGAGTTACCGAGCTTTTTGGTGCTTCCATAGAGTCAAAAACAAGATAAATTTTATCATATTTTGTTAGTTTTGAGTTTTTACAATATTTTTTTTCTCAGTGTACCTTAAATATCGTTCTAAAAATTGTCTGTTGTCTATAGTCCATTTTTGAATATTCGCGACTTAAACTGAGTTAATATAACAGACAGAAAAAATTTATACATGTAGAGATAATATTTATTAATAGAAATCAAAGCATAGACTTTAAATAAGTCTGTTACTTGATAAATATCCTTAAAAAAAGCACAAAATATTCTTTAAAAATATTATTCTGTGAAAGATTAAAATTTAATGTTTCGATGCAGGTGTCAAAAAATGTAATGAATGGAGCTACGCTATTATTTCTAACGAAAATAGATTAAATTAAGTACTTTAAACTTCGTTATCCAATCTTGAAATGATTCTTATTTCTTATGCTTTAATGAATATATTTTCTTATACTTTAATGAAATATTTGTGATACAAAGCTTTATTCGCGGGAAATACAGGATTGTCCAAACTATGTAACGCACTGAGCACCGATAGTTTCCCTCATAAATTTTTTGTATAAGATAATCTGATAACGTTAAAACTATTACA